CAAACGAAAATCGTTCATTGTCGCGTCTGCCGTCCATCAGTCTGGTGCCACGACGAAAGTTCCCTTCTGGGTTGGTGCATCTTCGAGAAGAAAATGGATTTAATGCAGCAAGTGTTTGGAAAGTGGACAGTGAGAATGAAATACCGGACAGTGACCACAGAGAGACGTTGATAAATTCACTGTGACATGGACACGAGTGACAGGAAGTTCCACTGGCTACGTCGCGGCTCATCATCGGGCACTTTGCTTACTTTTTAATGCAAGCTGCCTTATGAAGGGCAACAACGTACCAGGGGGTCGCATCGATGGACCTGCACGCTGTATCGACAGACATTGCATCGCCTTAAGGCTCTTAAACAGTTTTGTGCCAGTGGAGCTACGATAAATAATTCCTAGAGACTTATGATTATTTGAGAATGGGGAATATTAGGCCATCGATCAAGCATTCTTTACACAATTAGTGAATTCTAGCATTTGCAGATTTTCTGAAGATTAATTAAACGTGGATAGTTGAAAAGAAATGCTTGAATGCAACTGCCTAATACTTTTCCTTATTATAATACACAAGTTTCAGTAACGGAAGATGAGGCAGTCATTTATTCCTGTGAACTGAATGACTGCGACAGGATTTTCCAAAGTCTCTTCGAATCTTAAACAAGCATTCTTTGTCAAGTACACAATTGCTTTGTGAATTCTAGCATTTGTAGAGTTTTTGAAAATTGATTAAAACCAGCCAGTCAATATTAAAAGAAATGCTTGAATGCAACTGACTAATATTTTTCCTTATCACAATAAACAAATTTCATTACCATAAAAAAGATGTCTTATTTTCTCAGGACTTCCTAGACGTTAAAGTCTCCTATCCTAACAGTAAACAGTCCCGCAGTATTCTGGCCCGCCAAGCAACGTTCCTAAGCTGACAATGCTGGAAATCTCGCCTAATCGAGAAATCAATGCGTTTACCAAACAACGTGTGTGCTCCGTTTGCAGATATTTATTTCGTCTTAAATAATTAGATTCTTATATAACTAGAATTATCGGGTGTGATCATACGAAGAATGACGTTAACGAGAGAAAAAAAAAAGAAAAAAAAAGGAGAAAATTAATCAATACACCTCGCGATTGATTACGCGTTGAGGAAAATACGAACGACGCTCTCGTCGATGATAACAATAGAATCGGGTGGATCGCTGTCGGAGGCGATCGCCAATCGGAATTTTCCGTCGTCGAAGGGATTAAAGTACAACGATACATTTGTCTTGCGGCGAACGCGATTACGAATTAATTAATTTAATAAAAGAAATCGCTAGGCTCGGCTGCCTAGAGACTTATGTATACATATATAATATATATGTATGTATATATACAGTCAGGCTAGTCGGTATCAGTACTCTCTGTGTCTATCGAAGAAATTTTTGTAAATTAAATACCAGGTTTGATGTTGCAAGATGAACGTTTCATTATAAACATGTAATTGAATAGACTTTACAGGTGCATATACTTATAATGAAACATTCATCTTGGAACATCAGACCTGGTATTTAATTTAGAGAAACTTCATCGATGGAGAGAGTACGAATACTTGGGAGACCGACTGTATATATACAGGGTGAGTCACCTAAAACTTGTACCTGAAATATATCTGTTATTTTTGATAGTATGAAAGAATGTTCAGGCAGAAACACTTCAATTTCCTGGAGACAATATTACCATATGCACAAAAGGTGTCTCAAGGGCATATTTTCTGAAATTTCAAGGGCATCAGTGTTCTCTAAAATGGAACAGGGTATTTCCAATATTGTATTCTTCTAGCTGATCAAAAGACAAACAGTTTCCTCCTATGACATCTTTTTGTACCGTTAAAAACAATGAAGATATTTTAGTTACAAATCTCATCGGTCTTATAACAACAACTCCTCTCGAGGTCACCTTATTATACACCTTTGACTTTGTCTTTTCATCAGCTCCATGACTACCATATTAAAAATACTTCATTACATTTAAAAAAGTCATTGATCACCGTGGAGTCTCAGAAAATATAACCTTAAATAAAATCTTACACAGACAAATCTTAATATCATTGAAAACAAAGGAGATATTTAATATACAGATCTCAGGTGACGCACCCTGTATATATATTAATAATAATAATAAGGCAATTTCGATATTCTTTCCTTTCCGTTTTAAAAAGTACGATAGATACATACGACTCCCGCTTATACACGGGGCAGCGTGTGTTCGCATAAAATTTGTCCCCTATAAAAAGTCAGTCTCATTTTTCTACGACGTGCCGCGATTATGATGTGTTCCTCATTCCGATTTATGTACAAGTAACGGGCCGGCGGGCCACGATGGCCGATCGGGTCACACACGTATACCCTCTTAAGTACACTGATGATGATCCGAAAAGAGACACAAGGTGTCCTAGCAATCGTGGTACAACGTACATTTAATCCATCGCATGCAAATAGATTAATTAAAACAAATCTCTATGGACGACTTTCTCGAGTGATAAGTGAACTTATTCTACTTAAAACTTAACTAACTTGCACTTATTGATCTCAGTGCTTTAACAAAATTTTGTTTCGTAGAACTGTTCATACTTTTCCCAGCTGTACTTCTTAATTTCAAAAGCTTTGAGTAATCTTGAAAACCTGTCAAGTATTCTCAGACTTATCGATCCCAGGGCTTTAACAAAATTTTGTTTAGCAGAACTGTTAATGCTTTTCCCCGCTGTACCACTATTCTTAATTTCAGAGACCTTGAGTAATTTTCAAAACCTGTCAAGTATTCTCAAACTTATATTAATGCTTTTCTCCGCTGTACCACTATTCTTAATTTCAGAGACCGTGAGAAATCTTGAAAACCTGTCAAGTATTCTCAGACTTATCACTCTTCGTACTTCAACAAAATCTTGTTTCGTAGAACTGTTAATGCTTTCCCCAGCTGTACTTCTTAATTTCAGAAACCTTGAGTAATCTTGAAAACCTGTCAAGTATACTCAGACTTATAAATCTCAGTGCTTTAACAAAATGTTGTTTCATAGAACGATCAACTGGGACAAATGATGGTCCCTCGAGACTCGCGAATTCGGTTACAAACAATTTCCGCAGCCATCGTGGCCCGTCGCCGTCCGAAGCGTCGGGAAACACAGTATCCTTGTACGCTGACTTCGATAAAATTCTCTTATACACACTCGCTCTCAGTCACTCGCTCTCACGCTTAACGGTTAAACATTCGATAAAGTTTCAAGTTAGAACCATTAAAAAGGAAATGTACAACAACACGTAGAACTCTCAGCTCCCGCTCTCAACGTGTCCCCGTCCCTTAAAGCGCCGTTCTCACGAACTCGGGGACTTGGACATCGAAAACCTGAATCGTTCCACGATATTCGCGTCCCTATACAATTCAACTAGTCCTCGCGCAGGTCGAAAGCACCAGGAGAATCGATTAACGAGGATTAAAGCAAGGTAATACGCGTCTTAGCTTCAGGTAGTTCTCGATTACCCATCAGTGGCGAATTACAGCGTGAATTAATTAATTAACTAATTAATTTGTTACAGTGTTTAGCCTTTCATGCTTGATTCTGATTAAACATTGCAGATTGATAGAGAGATTTAACAAGGTGAAACTACCTCTTGTGAATGCACAGCTAATTTCCATAGAGCTGGATTTCTAAAGAATAGTTAAATACATTCAATCTGTACTTCTTTGTAAAAGTACCTTGCGCAAGACTTTGCAACCTGTGGAGACTTCTTTGAAGGAGTCCTTCGAAGGAGACTTCTTTGAAGGAGTCCTTCGAAGGAGGCTTCTTTGAAGGTGATTCAAGTGGGCCATTGCAATGGGCGATAGAGCTTGAAAAGTTGAGCATAATAATATCTTTGCAAATGAAGCTTGAGTAACATGAATAATTTTCTTGTCTTTTCCTGTTGGTCTGGCACTTTCGGTCCGCAGAGAGCTTCGCAACGCGTTACAGCGTCCTGTAACCCCTTAACTATGTCATTTCGGCGCTGAACACTTTTCTTCCTATACTTAAACACTTACTATTACGTCGTACAATCATAAACACCGATCTTCGTTCGATAAGTTACACGAATAATTAAAACGAGAAGAACGAGAGAACAATATTCGCAATCTCTGATCTTTAACCCTTTCGTCCTAGCTCTTTTTCTGTCTATACTCTACTCGCTTTTAGAAATTAAATTGTACTAAACTACGCTCGGCTATAAATCAAAGGCCGCGATAAGTTCAGTTTTCTTTACATGGAAAGCAAATTTAATTTTCCCAATGGCATCCGGAAATATTCGCTGGGACGTGCGTGTCCCAGGGTCAAAAGAGTTAAGAGTTCAGGAGAAAAAGTAGTCTCACTCTTGGCAGACGGAAAAAATTGAATTTTAAAAAGAAACGAAGCGAATTTAGCGCGTGACTTTGCCACCGAGGCCCCTGACTACGTTCGATCCTAAACGGCGGCCCGGTGGCCGAGGGATTTGTACCTTAAGATTAATCGGCGAGCATTAATTATCGTAACGCCGCTAATTTAACGCAGATTGGAACGGAGATATTAAAGCTAGACGAGGGAGTTAAATCGATTAACAATGGAAAGCGACGCGGAGACGGTAGTGATGGGCTTTAAGATGCGCGCTTCGATCGCTTCGAACACCATTGGATTCTTTACGGTGGTTTACAAAAATTCTCCAATTAACAGATTTCCGCAGGTGTCTCGAAAGTCTTGAAACGCCCGGGGTCGTTCGAAGCGTCGATGGAACTTACATTAACGGGTGACCACAGAGAGAAGTGTAGTAACTTACAGTAACGACAATTATTTATAATACAGACTTGGTATCTTTATGCTATCTTGTATTTCTAGCGCGCCTGTAACTAGAGGACTCCTTCGAAGGAGTCCATCGAAGGAGACTTCTTCGAAGGAGTCAATCGAAGGAGACTTCTTTCAAGGAGTCCTTCGAAGGAGTCAATCGAAGGAGACTTCTTTCAAGGAGTCCTTCGAAGGAGTCAATCGAAGGAGACTTCTTTCAAGGAGTCCTTCGAAGGAGACTTCTTTGAAGGTGATTCAAGTGGCCCTTTGCAATGGGTGATAGAGCTTGAAAAGTTGAGCATAATAACATCTTTGCAAATGAAGCTTGAGTAACATGAATAATTTTCTTGTCTTTTCCTGTCGAACTTAATTTTTGGTCAGCTACTGTCTCTTAGGGTTCAAATCTTCCTAACTATTAACCAAGGGTACCCAAAGCTATATATATTATAATTATATGTACATATAGTTTCAGATGAAGATGTTTAAAATTAGTCTCTCAGATAACATAAATAATGTCCTTCCTTTCCCCTGGCCCTCTCAATATTTTTCTAGCTAGTCCCTTTCAAATGTAGTGACTTAAATATCCTCTTAACCATCAACTTGAAGCACCCAGACCTGCACATAATTATATACCATACTCAGCATTTGAAGCTCTACCGCTGTGCTAAAGCTGATTTAGATATTGTCCATTCCTTGCAAGTGACCTAAATGCCTCGACACTTACAATCTTTACTATGCCACGTCTCAAGGCCTCGACTAGACCTTAACCTGAACATCGGTGTTACAATTAACAAGAGCGCAAGACATTCGAGTCACCCATTTTTCTGAAACTTTGTATACCAGTAGATTTTAAGAAAATATAGTCATGTTTAAGAAAATATAGTGTTATAGAGGCAGGCGATTTTTAGTCGATTAATTTTTAGATGTTTGTGTTGTTTCATTGTTCAAAGTTTCATTATTGCAATTTTTTGCGTCTTAAATTGCAATAATCCTATATATAATGCAATTTTCTTCTTCCTAAACTTTGTTAATTTAGTGTATTATAAGCAGATTGTGGATTTTTATGCATTTATAGGGACTTTGAACGTGCAAGAAACTACAAAATGCACACTGTGTGTAAGAGTGTAAAAGATATTGAGGGTAAAGTTCATATTATAGTATTTGCAGAGTAAAATAAATTTCTATTTAGGTACAATTTTTGTAGGTGTGTTTGCCAAGATTTTATTTTGGATAAAGATCTAATTATCAGTTTCTTCTGCAATATTCTAGTCGCGTCTTCAAATACAAAATCAAATTATTTTAAAACCAATTGAAAGACCAATTAAAAACAAAAGAATAAAATCCATCCGCAGAGAATCGAACCCTAGCACCACAAAACTTTCATCCGTTACCATTCCACTACAATCCACCTTCCAATCTAGCTTTACGAAACCCTTCTGTTATTTTTTATCAGTGATGGGCAAAACCCTAGGCTTCGAATAAATCTAAAGTTTGCTGGTATGTTTGTCTCGTTTCCTTCTTTGGAAAATTTTCAAAAGAGGAAACGAGACAAATGTATCTGCAGACTTCAGATTTATTCGAAGCATAGGGTTTTACCCATCTCTGTTATTCATTTTATTAGTTCAATGGCTTACATAAATGGCTTACACAGCAGAAACCCTTTTGTGTTTCAACAATGAAACTTTGATTGTAAGTAATTGAAAAATGTATCTTCATATCTCTGTTCTTACAATGCTATATTTTCTTGATCGAGATGACAAAATCTACCAGCGTACAAAGTTTCAAGAAAGGAAGGAAGACCAGGTCTTCCTCTGAAGGTTTTTCTCATTCTCCTAAAACGGCGCAATAGCTACATAACATTTAACTCTCGCAGGAGCTTAAAAGTGACCATAAACGTCTCGCCAAGAACTCCCCATCCGACGTTTCAAAACTTTCACAGTATCCGAGGATAAAACCGTGGCTCTTCGAGCCCTTCAACAAGATTCGAAGCGATAACAGCTTAGGGAGGGAACCGAGTGCCCATCACTCGACGCGCAATACTAATTGTTGCGAGCTTTGGTACAGGCACGTAGAAACATTATTAAATACTATGCATCGTGGCGTGCAGAGAAAGAAATAATTTACACTTCGAGTCAGTCTGTCCTTGTCGTTCGAGCGTCGAGCGATCGTCTCTGACGTATACCCTGTGTACAGAGACGAGTATCTCTCTAGTGGCCGCGTATCACGCCCGGAGACTTCGCGATCGCTCGAGGTAACGTTCTCAGCAGTTACGAGCGACAGTCGCCGCTGGTTTGTCTCCGATGAAACGAAGAAAGGTACGTAGCCGATGTCTTGGTCGCCAGGTCGACGCTAGGTCACCAGAAGTGCGACTGGACGTAACCACCGCCCATGCCTATGGGGTTAAAGCGATGAGGGTGGATCTTCTCCATTCTCATGGCGCCCGGACCGCCGCTGCCGCCGAGGAAGCTGCCGTGGGGCCCGCCACGTGGTCCGAATCCTCCGGCCCTGCCTATCATCCCTGGTCCCCCTCCGCTGATCCCCATTCCCATTCCCGGGGGTCCGCCGATCCCTCTGCCTCGTCCTCCTCCGCTCACGGCGCTACTACCACCTGGAAAAGTCGTTTAAAGGCTTTACAGTCAGCGGGAACTTGGGTGAATTTTTTAGGTATAGTACGTTCGCGACAAATTGTCGTCATTGGCTGCGGCCGGTGAAAAGAGACGACGCGGCGAGCATATCGGGATAGAGTGAGATCAATTGATTTGACAGAATTCACGTGACTTACCATTATACAGGGTGTCCCAAAAATGTTGGAGGTCCTTGAAAGGGGTGGTTCGGGGGGTAACTTGAAACAATTTTTTACTTAGCGAAAATGTTGTGCGGGGTTTCGTTGAGGAGATATTAACGGAAAACCCTCGACCAATCAGAGCGCGAGGATGTCGGCGGAGGGCGGTCGCCTAGTGCGTAGCCTACGCCTACCGCAGCCTACTCGCGCTCTGATTGATCTGGGGTTTTCTGTTAATATCTCCTCAACGAAGCCTCGTACAACATTTTCGCTAAGGAAAAAATTATTCCAAATCACCTCCCGAACCACCTCTTTCAAAGTGTTACAACGTTTTTGGGACACCCTGTATATACAAAGTGGAAGCGATTTGAAACAACTTTTTCCTTAGCGAAAATGTTGTCCGAGGCTTCGTTATGGAGATATTAAGAGAAAACCCCGACCAATCAGAGTGCTCCAACGGTATAGGCGCGCTCTGATTGGTCAACGTTTTCCGTTAATACCTCCTCAACGAAGCCTCGGACAACATTTTCGCCAAGGAAAAAGTTGTTTCAAATCACCTATAGAACCATCCCTTTGAAGGACCTCAAACATTTTTGGGACACCCTGTAGTGTCTACTAGAAAAAGATACAATTTATACGTTCCACTTAGGTTGTCCGAAAAGTTTATTCCGTGACTTGCACTCAGTTACTTTTTATGGCAATGTTTATATAAACAGACAACCTAATTTAGAGGTTAATGTTGTAACAGTAACGGAGCAAACTGAATCGTGCGCAATTCAATAATGTAACATTAGACACAAAATATCGTGTATGTTTTACTTATTAATGAAATGGAAGAAACTTTTCGGACAACCTAATATCTATTGCCGCAACATAACGGTGCTGTTGGCTTCGGTCTTCTTTTCTTAGTCATTCTCGGATTTTCGTTATCTGTATAAGTGTTTATAGGACTGTATGTTAATATAAACACCCTTACACTTAATATGTAGTCGGCACTTTGATTAGGAGGCCTACGCCGATGCTGTAAAGTCGTCATTCTGTACCACTCTGTCTCGATATGTTCGCTGTCGTCCTTTGTCATTGCAGCCAATCACAACGTAGCGCATGGTAGCAGAAGAGAGGGTCAGAGTGAGAAAGAAAATGAGTTAGCCTCGCCAACTTGTTGCGAACGAACAGTAGATACGTGACGGATGAACAAAGAGTGAGAAAGAAAGAAAGAAAGAAAGAAAGAAAGAAAGAAAGAAAGAGAGAGAGAGAGAGAGAGAGAGAGAGAGAGAGAGAGAGAGAGAGAGAGAG